ACTTTGGGAGGCCGAGACGGGCGGATCACGAGGTCAGGAGATCGAGACCATCCTGGCTAATACAGTGAAACCCCGTCTCTACTAAAAATACAAAAAACTAGCCAGGCGAGGTGGTGGGCGCCTGTTGTCACAGCTACTCCGGAGGCTGAGGCAGGAGAATCACTTGAACCCGGGAGGCGGAGCTTGCAGTGAGCTGAGATCCAGCCACTGCACTCCAGCCTGGGCGACAGAGTGAGACTCCGTCTCAAAAAAAAAAGACTCAGCTTAGTGTCATTACATCATTTGGGAAGCATTCCCTCAGTAAATTACATGTCCTTTCTTGGGCTTTTACAGCACCTAGAGTTGAATTCCTAACACACACCACGCTATACTGACATGATCTCCCGCAGATCTCTAAGCCAGGGGTCAACAAACCCCAGGTCAAGGATGGAAACCAGTCCATGGCCTGTTAGGAACCAGATCACACAGCAAAAGATGAGGCAGGTGAGCAAGTGAAGTTTCATCTCTATTTACAGCCACTTCCCCATTGCTTGTATTACCGCCTGAGCTCCGCCTCCTGTCAGATCAGCAACGGGAGCATTAGATGCTCATAGCAGCACAAAAAAGTGAACTGCGCATGGGAGGGATCTAGGTTGTGGGCTCCTTATGGAGAATCTAAAGCCTGATGATCTGTCACTGTCTTCTATCACTCCCAGATGTGACTGTCTAGTTGCAGGAAAACAAGCTCAGGGCTCCCACTGTTTCTACATTATGGTGAGTTGTATAATTATTTCATTATGTATTACAATGTAATAATAATAGAAATAATGAGGAGGAGGGAAGGGAAACCCAGAGGCACTCAAAGGTAATGAAAATGCCTTAGACTGCCGGGTGCAGTGGCTCATGCCTATAATCCCAGCACTCTGGGAGGCAGAGGCAGGTGGATCACCTGAGGTCAGGAGTTCAAGACCAGTCTGACCAACATGGAGAAACCCTGTCTCTACTAAAAATATACAATTAGCTGGGGTGTAGTGGCGCATGCCTGTAAGTCTAGCTACTCAGGAGGCTGAAGCA